TCCATTAAGGACACAGGAATTCAGAAACAGTTGGGTTATACAGCCGTCTACAGAAGGTTGGGACACTGGCAAACACATGAGTTGTAAGCCAGTCTCCATATAACCCCTCTACCCAGCATGCCTCAGTTTCTTGCTAATGTCTTAGGACAGGGGTGTCAAACTCAAATACACAGTGGGCCAAAATTAAAAAAATGCTCAAAGGCTGGGCTGGTTCAGTGTTTATTGGAAACAAATCGAAATTACCTTATTGAATATATTGAACCTGGACCTAACGTAGCACAGAAGTTATTTCCTATAAAACAACATAAATCATTAAATAAATGACAGTATATCACACAGTATAATACCGTGGTCTATACAGTATATCACACAGTATAATACAGCGGCATATACAGTATATCACACAGTATAATACAGCGGCATATACAGTATAAAACTGTGGCCTATACCGTATATCACACAGTATAAAACTGTGGCCTATACCGTATATCACACAGTATAAAACTGTGGCCTATACCGTATATTGCACAGTATAAAATTGCGGCCTATAATGTATATTACACAGTATGATACAGCGGCCCATACAGTATATCGCACAGTATAATACAGCGGCACATACAGTATATGACACGGTATAATACAGCGGTACATACAGTATAATACAGCGGCACATACAGTATATCACACGGTATAATACAGCGGTACATACAGTATATCACACAGTATAATACAGCGGCACATAAAGTATATCACACAGTATAATACGGCGGCCTATACAGTGTATCACACAGTATAATACGGCGGCCTATACAGTATACCACACAGTATAATACGGCGGCCTATACAGTATACCACACAGTATAATACGGCGGCCTATACCGTATATCACAGTATAATACGGCCTGTACATTTTAATTATTAAAAAGCATGATACATATAATTACAAAAAAGTTTTTCCATCTGGTGCCCGCTTCTGTGGATTTTTCCCCTGCTTTCTCTCCTCATTGCGCAGGCCCCATAAGCTCTTCATCCCTGCTCTGTGGTCTGGCAAGGCAGGGACAACCGCGGGCCTTTCCTACAGAAGCCGCAGGGAACTTCCAGCTTTAAAGATGGCAGCCGCCGATTGGCGGCCATCTTTGTGACACAGGAATGATGCGCCAGTCCTGGGGACACTTGGAGCTTTCGGTAGAAGTTCTAATTGTGTGGGCAATATACCGGCGGGCCAGATCTAATAATGAAATATCATGCGGGCCAAAGATAATTCCATTTTTTTTTATTTTTTATCTTCTATGCTTCATGGAATTTCATCCTTGGTGACTTCAATCAAGATCTCTAAACCGCTGCTAAGTGGAGTACTTTGCACTTTTTTTTTTCTTCTTTTTTTCCTTACACTTTAACCTAGCGGAAGCACCAGTTCACTCCTGCTCCGGAAGCACCATTTGGATCTCTGGTCTCATTCCATTACACCCACCTACAGTGACTTGGTCACCCCTGACTGGCTGAAACCCTCATCAGCGTCAGGTGCCCAAGTTTGAAAGTACTTGAGGCCTTGTCCCTCATTGAGACTAGTTGCTACCGCTACGTGGTGCAACATGCCTTCCCATAGACACGCAAGGACAGTTACACTGCCACAGTTGACATCAGCCCATACTCCCCACATGATTCTGGGGTGTTTACTTGGTGTCACCAGATGGAAACTGAGCTCTGTTAACCATTCTGAAAATATTTCAGAGCAAGCATGCAGCCCACAACTCGAATTTTTAGAATGGAGTCAGCAATGGCATTTTATGTATTATCTTAAATAAATTACCTTCAGTAACTTCAGCAATTTGAGACACTTAGACTGAAACAAGCATGGAAATCTGCATATTTATTCCAAGCTGGAGACTTTGCGCTGAAGCCATTCGGCCAGCATTTGCCATAATTGCATATTATGTGGGAAGGTAGCAAAACGTTAACCTAAGCATGGATTTTTTTTAAACTTGAGAAATCTTTTTAGATTGCAAGAAAATTGCACTTTTTTTTTAATTTATCAAAGATACATTTCTTTGCCACAGGTTTTGTATTCTGTGTGTGGTGCTACAGAATATGTTAACTAGTTTTTGATATGCATATTTTTTTTATTTAGCTCTCTAATCCTCTAGAAATTTTCATTTTTGTTGCTGGCAGGAAATGTTTTGTCTTTATACAGTAGTATGACGTATGGTTTTTATTTTATAGGTATGACTCCTCCAAGACCACCCATGTGTCCACCTGGCCCACCAGGACCCCCTGGTCCTCCTCCAGGGCAGCCAATTCCTCCGCCGTTAGCAGGACCACCAAATCGTGGTGAACGCCCACCTCCCCCAGTTTTATTTCCTGGACAGCCATATGGTCAACCACCGTTAGTTCCCCTGCCACCTGGCCCCCCTCCTCCTGTATATGGTCCTCCACCTGGCCCCCCTCCTCCACAGCCAGGTCCACCTCCTCTTCCTGGTCCATTTCCTCCTCGCCCCCCAGGACCTCCAATGGCTCTTGGGCCACCTCCACATTTGCCAGGCCCACCTCCTGGAGGTCCCCCACCAGCTCCACATGTAAATCCGAACTTCTTTCCTCCACCTGGTAATGCTGGTATGCCTGCTTCAGATAGCCGTGGCCCACCACCATCGGATCCATATGGTCGGCCACCTCCATACGACCGGGGAGATTGTGAGAACACCTTTAAGTGAAGCAGAATTTGAGGAAATCATGAACCGCAACAGGGCAATTTCCAGCAGTGCAATTTCCAGAGCAGTTTCTGATGCCAGTGCTGGTTAGTGTTTTCTTTTTGTAAATGTATATTATTTTCTCCCAGTACTGAAGTATTTGGTAGAATTCATCACATGCCATTCGTGTTGCTATATCTTAGCAACCATTGTTAGGGCTTGTGTTGATGCACAAATGCAGCATGTTGCATTTAGCTTACATTCGAGATCAGTTTGAAATGCGTCAGGGTTCTTCAAAGGTACATCTGCCTGTAGAAGCTTTTGATTAGCTGCAATAAGAATTATTGCAATTAATGATATCCCATAGGGCTGCAACAACTAATCGATAATAAGAATCTGTGTCAACAATTCTCATCAATTAGTTGATTGATAATGTTCTCCTCGCTGGGAACTGCTTTATGCTGCGGTCTGTGCCCCCTTCCATTAGAAGGTAGAACAAATGGCAAACGCACTCATCAATTCGTAACCAGCTTTACAGCAAGGTGCACATGGAAGGGCTTTATACAGTACAACAGCAAAAAGTTTCCCAGCCTCACCTTGCCAAGGCACCCAATTTTATCTTTTGCCACATGTGCTCCAAGATGGAGACTCTCATAGTATAGAGTTAGGACCACACTATATGGAGGTGCCTTGGCGAGGCGGTGCAACTTTCACGTTTTATGCAGAAGACGTGTATCTAAACCTCTGTTTTTAACCTTAGCGGTGAGACAAGTTTTTTTGCATGCTGGCTGGTGTGTGCTGGGAAACTTTTTGCTGTTCCTCCATTAGACGGGATATTGATTGCTGCAGCTGGTGCCCAGCGGGGAGTAGAGACCGATGTGCTTCCCATGCTCCATTCCTCCTGCTGTTCCCCATGCTTCCCTCATCTGCCAGGGGTAGAAAGCTGGCGTCAAGTTTCCCATCCAGCAGCTGAGAGCAATAGCCAGTCTGTTATTGGCTATTTTAAATTGCAGTAGCCAATAGCAGGCTGACTATTGCACCTGCCCACTGCCTGCTTTCAATCAGCAGAGGAGGACCTGAAGGAGAACTTTCTCCTTCAGGTCCCTCTTCTGCTGATTGACAGCAGGCAGTGGGCGGGTGCAGTATACAGCCTGTTATTGCCTACTGCAATTTAAAATGGCCAATAGGCTGGCTATTGCTCTCAGCCACTGCCTGTTATGTTCTCATTCAGCTGCCTCAGCAGGCAGCTGTCATTCCCCAAGCAAGTGGAAAGGTGACACTAGGGGTCTTATAGACTCCTAATATCACCTTAAAGAGAACCTGTCACCTCCCATGTGCTATCAATTTAGGGCTTATGAGCCCCCCCAAGTGATAGCAATGATGTAAGAAGAAAAAAAGTTAAATAAAATTACCCCTTAAAGTTTCAAGTCCCTAGACCCCATAAACACGTGCATACTAATTGAAACACAAGTCGGGTGCACCTTCGACTGAAAATGACGATTGCACTACACATGTCAGGTATTGCTATGTGCGTCAGAGCGAGAGCAATAATTCTCGGGTCAATATTCATGGCTAACTTTAAACTGATGACTGGGCATAAATATAATTTGGGATGCACCGATACTGTTTTTTTGGTATCAAGTACCGATTTTATCTTATTTTTTTCGGTGTTCTCCAATACCGTTACCGGAAGTTCCATTGAAGGAACTGGCTTCGTGATTAGCTGGGAAGCCGTCTCCACGCTCCCTCGTCACCAGGTGACGAGGAAGCGTGGAGCTGGCTTTCTGGCCAATCAGGAAGCCATGGGAGGGTAATGACTCTCCACCCGGCTTCCTGACGTGTTTATAATTTGGTTTGGCTCATACTGTTAAATGTCATGCTTATATCGTCATTATTTGAGTTGACGTTGAGAAGCAATTGTGTATACATATCTACAGTAACTACATATTGTATGTTCTAAAGCTTTGTAGTAAAAACTTTATCAATATGGTGCATATTATACAGATAATAAAGTGGTTTTACTACCATCATTAACCGCTTGAAGACCAGGTGTTTACACCCCCCTCCTGTCCAGGCCATTTTTCAGTATTCAGTGCTGCAGTACTTTGACTGACGTTTATTCCGTCATGCAGCGCTGTACTGAAATTAATTGTATACCATTTTTTGGGGACACATAGAGCTTTCTTTTGGTGGTATTTAATCACCACTGGGGTTTTATTTTTCACTATTTTACTGAAAGTATTGACATTTTTTTTAACGTTATGTTAGGAAACCATTATTACCCAATTTTTTTGTAAAATACAAAAAAAGACGGCGTCACGTCGGGTAAATAGACACCAAACATGTCATGCTTAAAAATTGCGCGCACTCGTGAAATCGCAAAAAAACTACCATACACAAAATTGGCCATAGGCGATGCTTTAAAAGCTTTTACCGCTCATCAGTTTTGTGTTATCATTGATTGATGGCCCTAAAATGATTGCTCTCACTGTGACGTTTGCGGCGATATGTAACGTGCGGCGTGATTAGGAGCAATCGTCGTTTTCGCAGGTATGCGCACCCGATGCATGTATGGGTGGGGGTCTTTAAAAAAAATTAGTTTTTAAAAACTTTATTGCTATCACATAAGTGCTAAGAAACCCCCCTATGTGATGGCAAAAGATGTGACAGGTCCTCTTTATGGAGACATCACGGGCCGGCAGCTCATACAAGCTTGTATGTTAACAGGCATCGGTGCCTGTTTTTAAATTGCCTGTGTTTCTCGCTCGTAGGCGTGGCTGAGCAGACGTCTAAAGACCCCCACTCAGATCTAGAGAGCTCCCCGCCAGCCATTTTTTTTTACAACGGCTGGCCGGGAGGTAGTTGAACTTGAGTTTGAATAAAATGCAGAAAGTCGATCCAGTACCCTCTAACTTGAATGGGGTTACTGTTAGCAATATGGTAAAGTGTTTTTACTCTTGTCTTGAAGATTGACCTAATTTTAGAATGTGTGCTGAATTTCTGCAGAAACACCAGTTTAGAACTTGAATGTGGCAATCACCTACTTAAGCTTTCATAATGTTTTGATTCATAATATTGGGGCCAGTGGCAATTTGCATTGCTTGCATGCCTTTTTTTCCTTTGCGTGTGAGGAAGTTCACGAGAGAAAATTTACCTTTTTTTTTTTTTTACATTTTATTTTGCAGGTGATTATGGAAGTGCTATTGAAACGTTGGTGACAGCTATTTCTTTAATTAAACAGTCCAAAGTGTCAGCTGATGATCGTTGCAAAGTACTCATCAGCTCTCTGCAGGATTGTCTTCATGGAATTGAATCAAAGTCTTATGGTTCAGGGTCTAGGTAATGTTTTCTGCCCCTGATCATTACAGAATGTGTTTCACCTAGTTTTGTATAGGAAAACTACACCTGAAGTTTAGGTTTTGAAAAGCACTGAATGCCTTTCATATTTCCCTAACTGGCCATTAAGGAATAATTCTCTTCTCTCCTAGTTTCTATCATGCTATGAGAGCTTAATCATGGCGGAATACAAAAGACTGCCAATAACTTCATCTAGTAAGACTTTTGTTTGGTTTCAGTCTTGAGGAGAGCAAATAATGACTGATAGCCAGCCTAATTCTGAAGACCTGTGACTATACTGACTTTAGCAGTGTTAACTTTTAGTCAAGTCTTGTCTTATTGTTCCTATTTTTTTCATATTGGAAAGCCTATTTTGTGTTAAGGAATTGTTTTAGTTGTGAGGGGGAATTAATTGAGTGATTTCCTTTAGAAGACGTGAGCGTTCAAGAGAAAGGGACCACAGTAGGTCACGAGAAAAAAGCAGGCGTCACAAATCTCGCAGCCGAGATCGCCATGATGACTATTACCGGGAAAGAAGTCGTGAACGTGAGAGGCATCGTGATCGGGAACGGGATCGTGACAGGGAAAGAGACCGAGAGAGAGAGTATCGTCACCGCTAAGCAGGTGGGTATATTAAGACAAGGATCCAAAGGTATCATGGAGCAAAACCGTGTATATTGTGAAAGATGTCATGTGTGTATATATATATATATCAGTGTTCAATACTGTGAAGGTGATGACCGAAGAGGTTTCCTGTTCTAAATCATTTGTATGCATCGGTAAGTAGCGGCTAGAAACTGTGCGTGTGGTAACATTTGTATTATATTTCTTACAAGACAATAAAGACATTTCTTTTAGGAGGTTCCCAAAGTTCTCCTTAAGCCACCTAAAAATGTCATGGTCTGACTGCTTTTTTACCTTGTGTGCTCTTTAAGAGTTGCTTTGTGGTACATTTTTATCCACCTCCTCACAACATTACTATTCATTGGTTCAGGCACTTTTGTGCCATAGGGCCAGCAAACGTGAAATGGGACTGTTGGGTTATAACAAAATGTTGGCTCTGACTTTCAAATCTGTTAGGGTAATTAAAATCCACCTTTCTTGGCTCTAGGCTCTGTATATCTACCTCAATTTCCTGTGACAAAACAATCAGTCAGGGCCCTTTCACACGAGTGTTTTTGCCAGGAGAAAATCCCAATCCCAATACACATTAACCTCTTGCCGTCCGCCCGTAGTAAAAAAACGGACGGACGGCACTGCAGCATCTGCGGGTTGCCGTCTCCAGACGGCAATTTTTTTCTGAACTTGCATTGTATGCGAACGCATATTTACACGTGTTGGTGCTTGTTCGCTTTTTCATTACAATGGATGTTGAAGTGCTTTGATGCATTTCCTATGATTTCAGTGGAAATTTCACCTGACAAAAACTGTTGTGCAACAAGTGGGAATGTTAGGAGACCTTAGGGTGGTATTGGGAGCCTAGATGAGCGTAAACTTTTTTTTTTTTCTAAATGTTCAATATCACTCACTTCTTAAAGAACGAGATGATACATGGACCTATACATACGCACTTGTGTCTTTATCCAACCTCAAATACTATGTAACTCAGACAAAATGTGGGAATTCTATATATCTCATACAGTTTTTCCTCAAAAAATACATTTTGTTTCTCGTTCATTGAGGGACACAGGAATTCAGTAACTGCTGGGTTATACTGCTGCCTACAGGATGATTTGTACATGACTGACTAACACAAAAAGGTGCCCAGCATGGTACAACCCTCCTACTTAACAATTTTTTTTCTGTGTCCTGTGAGGATTGACACTTCTCAGCTACTCTGCTGAAATAAATCTAACCTATTGCTTTTTTTCCTCTTCAATCAGAATTTAAAGATAAATTATTATTAAAAATACCTTTTATAAGATGCTAAGCTGGTCTCTGTACGCAGTTATCCGGATCGCCAGCTCCTCGGCACTAGTGCTTTGCAGGGTGTACCTGGACACCGCAGGATTGGGCCATTGCGGGGCTAGCCTGTAATATGACATTCGGGCATTGGGCTCTGCATTGTGGTGCTTTCTAGACCTGAATGTACTATATTAGTTACAGACTGTTTCCAGGTCCAGAGCCTTGGCAGAGTCCCAGGTGTGAACCTGCCACTAAAGACTCGCTTTGTAAATTGGCTGTGTGAGCATCAGAAGCTATCACATTACCAGAGCCGCTGGGCGTCCTCTGCAATCCCCACTTTCTGTCGGTTTATGGTGGAAGGGATTGACACTTATGGAATTAGTGCTGACACAATCCGTTTGGGAAGAGGTCGGGTGGATATGCGCTCTTTCTCGCCATTCGGCTGAACCAGGTGACAGCCTGTAATCCTTTTTTTTTCTCTGCTTATGTCTATGCGCTCCTTGGAGTAGCTGTGTCTGGCATGGCCTTCTCCTTGGCTTATATCCTTGGTGTTTTTTTTACCTTCGTCGGGCAGGATTTTATGGGCCAGATTTCAACTCTTAATGCCGACACTGACTGCAGGGGCCATAAGTGTGCTCCCACGCCTCCTACTGCATATTCATTATCTGATCTGCCTGCGACAATAGCAGCTTCTGAGCTTTTTGCCACTGACTGTATCCGAGAAACTAAAGTCCTTAATGGATGATACTTTGTTAAAAAAACGTGCTTCCACTGCTGTGGATCCGGCAGTATCCCATCTTATCAAAGCTGTATCCGTCCCTGTGGAAGGTGTACCTCTTCAAGGATTCTGTTCATAAACAACTGGAATCCCTTTTTAAAACCTTGTGCTTTGTGACAGGCCTTGCCCTATATCCTGCCCTGGCAGTGATAATAGTCTGCCAAACCCTAGCTGATTGAATTAAGCAGTAGGAATCTGGTTGCCAATCCTGTAACTATGGAGCTCATGCCTGCAGCCTTGGAACTACTGTGGATGAGTTGTTAGAGGTTTCCCATCTCATTTTCTGTATGAGTCTCTTGTCTGTAAACGTGAGGAGGACTCTTTGGAGTTGGGCTGCAGAACTGGCATGCAAAGCATTTCTTCTCTAGTGCTCATATACCTGATTGGTGTGACCCAGCAATCAGTATTCCAAGTTTAAAATATTATGCAGAAGGCTTGCTGCACAGTTCTCTTTTGAGGGTTACTATGCTAACCCTACATGGTCTCAAGGCATGTGTAACGTAGCCAACTACCTGGGTGACGTAGCCAACTACCTGTGTGTTCAGAGTGGAAAATAGAGTTACATGTCAAGACACTCAGTGCCACCATCTACAAACTGGTACAGCACTAAAGATAGTCTAAATCCATAAAAGCCTGTCCACACAGCGCTGCCCACATACTAGGGGACTGACCGTGGCATGCATGCACAGTACTGTCAGCTGGTGCAAGTTGGATTTGCACTGACACTTTTTCAGACAGCGCCATGGCACTGGCACACCAACCATCAGGGAGGAACCAGATGTCTTGTGCGGCAAGAAAAGTAGGAAGGGTCCTGGGCAGAATTTGATGTTTCAGGTGTGGACAATTGGAAGGTAAATTGTAGCTGGTGGCACCTGGACCTGAGGGAGTGGTGTCGAGACCTGGCAGTGTTCCAGATCCTCAAAGGTGGGGATGCTGGTTCATAAACTAAGCAGGTTTGTTTCTAGGTACAGAGATCCTCTGGTGATGGCAATGGGTGCTCTGGTGGCTGCATGAGATCAGTACAACTTGATCTATGCTTTTTCTCCCCTGAAAACCTTCACTCGCCTGCTCTGCACGATGGAAGTGGAGGGCATTCCATTGATACTTGGTGCCAAACTGGCCCAGGCAGATGTGATACTCCACCTTGATCAGGCTGCTGGCAGACATTCTGTGGGCTCTATCAGATTGATCAGATCCTCTGTCCCAAGGACTGGTTTACCATTCTACTTCACAGCAACAGAGTGGCTGTTGAATCCCAGATCCTAAAGGACAGGGGCCTCTCTGAATCTGATACTCCTGACGTTAAAAACCTGGAAGTCCACTTGCCAGAATATCGCACAATGAAGGCATACTTTGCTTGTTGCAAGAACAGGAACTTTAATCCCAGACAGTTCTCCCTGAAATGAATCCTTGCCTTTCTGCAAATAGGTCTGGCTCAGCATCTGGCCCTTTTGTATTATCAAGGGGTAGATCTTAGTGCTTGCAATCTTGTTGCAGAGACTGCTGGCTTCACATTCTGATTCATTTGTGCATGGCTTCTCTGTGGTTCCCCCTGTGCTCTCAACTGTGACTCAGTGGGTTATGAATGTGGTTCTTTCAGCACTTCAAAAGATGCCTTTTGACCCCCTCCAGGAATATTCCCTTTCCACTCTTACAAGGGTTGTGTTTTCTTGCCATCTCCTCTGTGTGGCATGTGTTTGAGCTGGTGGCCTTTCTGGTCTTACACAGGGCCAAGGTGGTGTTGAGGCCTAGAGCCTCTTTTTACAAATTTGGTTTCAGCCCCTCATCTCATCCAGGACATTTGTTCTTCCAACCCTATGTCTAGCTTTAGTTCACTAGAAGGATATCTCCATTGCTTGGAAGTGTTTCATGTTGTGTGTGTCTACCTCGCTGCCATTGCTTCCATTAGAAAGACAGACTGTCATCCCTATAAAGGAGAACCAGCTTCTTGTGCCACTATTTTTTGGCTTAGACTAATCATCATTCAATTCTATGGTCTTCTAGACGGGTTCCACAATTTTCTGTCAAGGCACACTGTACTAGATCTGCGAGTGCTTTTTGGCATCAGGCTGCTGTTCACTAGATTAGCAAGGCAGCCACATGGTCTTCTGTTCACGCATTCTCTAAATTCTACCCGGTGGATGTTCAGACCTCATCTGCTAATGGCTATGGGTGTAAGGTCCCTTTTTCAGGTGGCTCTTGGAACTACAGACGGTCCCCGGTTCTGTTTTTGTGGGCCTCCTTAGTTTTAGGGTTTTTGTTTTGTTTTTAAGCTTACCTTAACTTCTATTTCTTGGAATTGAGAGACACCGGTTCCACCCTCTGTCCCGGCATATACCCTTGTTACTGCTTTTACAATAATCTGAGGTGTCCTGAGAGGTCTGAGTGGTTTTATGGGGCTGGCCATTTTTTATTTTTTTGTCCAAATCCTACTTTAGGCAGCAGTATAACCTAACAGTTTGTGTATTATTTGTCCCTAAATGAACTCCCAAGAAATGGGTTTTATGGTTATCCCTTTTTTCCAATAGGATTCCTACCACTATTTTGCAAAACTCTTTTCCACTTATGAAATCATCAAAATGAAAATAAAAATGTTTTAATTGACTTGTCACCATTTTCAGACTGAAAAAAAAAATCCCAGCAAAGAAAATGGTTGACACTTACCTGCCCTTCTGCCTGAACCACTGAACTTCAGTCTTAAAGAGTTAAACTTGCTGGAGATTCTTCAACAAATGACACTTTGGGTTTGTCAGATTACTGCATCCTCCTCCTCCACTCTGTGGTTCATTCTACCAGCCCTACATCACTACTGACTTCTAAAGTGAGGTAGGGGCCTGTAGATTAAACCACAGTGCTGCATTGGACCAGGCATCTGATATTCCCACAAATGTCTAAAGCTGAAGATTGACAGCGTGAGCAACAGGACAAGTAACTATTCTCT